GGCAGCCTGCATTGGCTCATAGCTTGGCCTCTCCTGGACACCTCCAAAGGCAGCAAAGTAGCAGCCAACTACAGTTTGCTGTGTAGCACATGCTGGGTGGCCCTGGGCAAGGCACAGGCAGAGGCTGACTTTGCACCTCCCAGGAGGCCCCAGAGACAGTGTGCCTGGTGGTCAGACTCTACCACGCTGGATTACAACCCTACTACATCCACGAGTGACACACTCAAGGGGTGCACTTGGTGAGCACCAAAGCTCCACTGAAGTAAATCCTGTTCCATAGGAGTGTCTCCAGCACAGCAGCTCTTTGGCTGTAGTTGCATCTGGTCCTCACAGTTTATTGGTCGGGGGTCCAATTCTTCCCAGTGATGCCAACAGCAACCAAGGCTCAACTACAACAGGACAGTGCACACAGCCCACACAGGGGAGCACCTAGAAAGCCCAGCTCAGGTGACTGGGGAGGCTGAGCCACTGGACCCTACAGGACACCTACTACACAAAGCCACTCTACAAATCCCAGGAGACATAGCAGCTCTACCTAATACATAGAAGCAAACACCTGGAAGCAGCCAAAATGTGGACGCAAAGAAACATGTCACAAAGGAAAGAACAGAAGAAATCTCCAGAAAAGGAACTAAATGAAATAGAACCAAGCAAGCTAACAGATATAGAGTTCAGAATAATGGTTATAAGGATGCTCAAGGATATTAGTAAGCCTATTAAGGAAACTAGTGAAATCATCAATGACATAATAAAGTACCAATCAGAAATGAAGGCTACACGAACTGAAATGAAGAATAATTTACAGGGAATCAACAGTAGAGTAGAGGACGCTGAGAATCAAATCAGCAATTTGGAACATGAGGAAACAAAAAACACCCAACCAGAAGAGCAAAAAGAAAAAAGAATCCAGAAATATGAAGATAGTATAAGGAGCCTCTGGGACAACTTCAAGAGGCCCAACATTCATATTATTGAGGTGCCAGAAGAAGAAAGAGAGCAAGAAATTGAAAACCTATTAGAAAAAATAATTACAGAAAACTTCCCCTACCTGGGGAAAGAAATAGACTTACAAGTCCAGGAAGCACAGAAAGTCCCAAACAAGAGGAACCCAAAGAGGCCACAGCAAGACACATCATAATTAAAATGCCAAAGGTTAAAGACAAAGAGGGAATCTTAAAAGCAGCAAGAGAAGAACAGTTAGTTACCTACAAGGGAGCATCCATGCGACTGTCAGCTGATTTCTCAACAGAAACCTCGCAGGCCAGAAGGGAGTGGCAAGAAATATTCAAAGTGATGAAAAGCAAGAACCTACAACCAAGATTAGTCTACCCAGCAAAGCTATCATTTAGAATTGAAGGTCAGATAAAGAGCTTCCCAGATAAGAAAGAGCTAAGGGAGTTCATCACCGCCAAACCAGTACTACAGGAGATGTTGAAGGGTCTTCTTTAAGAAGAAGCTAATGAACAAAAGAACCTGACAAACTAAATAGATCCAGAGACACTGAAGCATGAAACAGTCATATCTTAGAGGGAAGAGGGAAGGGGGGTGGAGGGTGGGAAGAGATTAACCAAAGAAGTTATAGGCATATATGCATAACCCATGGACACAGACAATAATAATGGGGTGAAGGTCTGGGGAGGGGGTGGGAGCGAGGTGGAGGCAGTCAATGGGAGGGAGGGAATGGGACACCTGTAATACTTTCAACAATAATGATAAATTTTTTTTAAAAAGCAGTGATTTTAGAATCGGCATTTGCCTACACAAAACTGAAAACCAAATGTACAAACTAACAAAGCAACAGATGACATAATAGCCATGAAAGTTGGGAAATGGCACTTTTGTGCTGACGTCCACCCTCAGTCTTTGAAACTGTCCTGAATCACCAGAAACTAGGTGTCGAAAGTGGGCAAAGGTTATGCACTCTCACTGACATACTGGAAATTAAAAGTTGTGAATAAAGAAAAATGTTGGCCCTGGCCAGGGTTGGTTGGGCGTCGTTCAGTGCACCTAAAGGTCACTGGTTCAATCCCCAGTCAGGGCTTGTGACCAGGTTGTCAGCTTGATCCCTGGTAGGCGGTGTGTAGGAGGCAGCCTCTCTATGTACCACCCTAACACTGATGTTTCTCTTTCCCTCTCCCTTCCTCTTGCTCTAAAAATCAATAAAAATATTTTAAAAGAAAAAGGTTGACTCTCACTAGTTCATTTATTTTATTGAGTTCATAAGATTTAATGAGCACCTATTATGTACCAGGCACTTAGGCTGGTGCCAGTGAAACAATATAAGGGGAAAAGGCACTGCCTCTACCCAGACGGAGCCCATCATCCACAGCAACAAGAAATTACCAGTTCACATCTGTTTGGGCAGGAATGTTTTAGAATTACTAAATCCTTGGAGGCCAACCTGCAGTGACCCTGCTTCACTTATGCCTTATGGATCACACTGCAAATTGTCCCCAATCTTTAGAGGAGCATTGGGCAAGATGTATGAAGAGCGACATAAATATTCCAATTCTCTTAACAGGAATTTTGTTTCAATAAATGATTTAAAAGAATGCCCGGCTGGGCATGGCTCAGGGGTTGAGCATCAACCTATGATCCAGGAGATCGCAGTTCGATTCCCTGTCAGGACATATGCCCGGGTTGAGGGCTCGATCCCCAGTTGGGGGCGTGCAGGAGGCAGTCGATCAATGACGACTCTCTCACCATTGATGTCTCTGTCTCTCTCTCTCCCTCTCCCTTCCTCTTTCTGAAATCAATAAAGATATAAAATAAAATAAAAAATTAAATTAAATTAAAATAAGAAAAAGACATCTGCAAAAATATGTCCATCTCAGAGTTAATACTATAAAAAAAGGAAACAACCTCTACATCTAAAAACAGAGAAATGATTATGTAAGTTATGGTTTCTCCATTGATACAAAAGTATGCATGCGTTGAAATTATAATTACAAACAATAGGTAGCAACATCAAAGAAGAGTTTTAGCACAGAAACAATAATGAAAATGTTGAGAATTACTACTGTGTTAAAATATGTATAAACATGAATAAACATTGGAATTCAGCAAAGATATGATTCCCCTCCGTCTTCTGGCATTCAAGGAAAGTGAGGGTGAACTGGGGAGGGTGGCAGCCTCACCAGAGCCTCCTCCTCACTCTAGCACCACCTCCCTCCTCCCCTGGGAAGTTTAACCAGACAGGTGACTTGAGTCCGCCCCTGTGCTCCACCCTCCCCCATCCCTCTCTCCAGACATCCTCTCAGCACATGGACTGGAAATCAAAGGGCTAGGTGTCCAAACCAGGGGCCCTCCCACCAGAGACCTGGAAATCATACCTGCTGACATTCGTCCCAGGCGTGGGGTTGACTCCGATGCCAGGAGAGGAGAGACTGGCAGTTGACATGGGTAGAAGTTGAGTCACAGTCCTGGGGCTGGTACGAAGCTTGCCCTGGGCCTTGGTGGTAGTAGGAGGAAGGGTGGAAATCTGAGACACTCTCTGGGTAGAATTAATGTCTGAGGGAGGATCTGCAAGAAGACACATTGGATGGATGGATGGATGGATGGATGGATGGATGGATGGATGGATGGATGGATGGATGGATGGATGGGTGGACGGGTGGATGGATGGATGGGTGGACGGGTGGATGGGTGGTAGGGTAAGTGGAGATGAGGAAGGAAATGAACTTGGACATTCATGACAACAGGTTTTCCTTTGCTAAGATTTTTTTTAAATGTGTGGGGTCAACCTGGGTCAGAGACAGGAAAAAAGGAAAGAAGGAAGGGAAGAAGAGAGAGAGGAAGGGATTTTCTGCTCGTGTCATTGGAAATGCACTTCCCTGCTATCCTGCACCAGTCCATATGCCCCCACCCTCTTCAAGAGTATTCCTTGGATACTCTAGCTTTCACCATTCACTCTGCCTTGCACTCACCTATGCCTGCGGCATATTGCTTCAGAAGTCATCTTGTATTAATATATTGCATACATTACCCATCTTCTTTAGGCTTAGGATTCCTCAGATGCTAGGAACTTGAACTTGTCTCTTTTTCCTCTGTCTTCCTTAATTCATCAGGTCAACATCTACTGCTGGCCTACTGTGTGCCCTGCGCTACATTAATCACACTATATTAATTGTTGGGGATACAGACCTGAGCAAGGCACAGAGTCTTCCCTCAAAGTGCTCAGAGATGCACAGGGGAGACAGATAGAGTGAACTGGCCACTACCACCCAGTGAGATAGTGTTGTCCATGAGAGGGGTACAAAGTGAGCTCTGGAGCCATGCTACCCAAATGGGAGCCATGGACCACAGCATCGGCATCATCTCTGAGCAGATCAGAAATGCAGAATCTAGGTCCCACCCTAGACCTGTTGAATCAGTCTGTATTTGAAATAAGATCCCCAGGTGATCTGTGCTCACAGCAAGGTCTAAGAAGCACTGCTTTGTAAACACATAGGAGGGCCGTCAAATGCATCTTTGGGAGGGGAAAGCAGATGATCCCAGAGGCTTCCTAAAGAAATGACTTCTACATGGAGACCTGAAGAATGAAACTAAGTTATCCCAAGTCTACCACTCACCTTTCACTGTACCCCTCTTCCTATAAGAGCACCCCAAACAAGTTCTCATTGTTGGACCAAATGCCTCTCAGTGACCTCAAATGACAGACATGGAGCTTCTGGGAGAAAGACACAGTGCTGGAAATCCTGGGTCACAGCTCTGTTCATGCCACCACCCAGCCTGGATCTCCCCACTCTACCTCCCAGCCACAGGTCACTCACCCTTTGTCACCACCAGGCGGATAGGATAGTACAATATGAAGGGGTCTTTGGGAGGCTGGAAGATCACACACTGATATAATCCTGAGTCCTCCACTTGCAGGTCAGTCACTCGGACTTTCAGTACGCCGTCAAGGGGGATTTCCTCCAGGTGGTACTTTCCTGTCTGGTCTACTTTGGTCATCTCTGAGCCACCCTCTGTCATTGCCAGTGTCAGAAGCTCCCCTCCATCACTCACTCTCTGCCACGCCTTCCGGCTGTTCTTGTACTTCATGACATTGAAGGGACACGTCACCTCCAGGGTCTGCCCCTCCGTTAGGGTAAACTCTTCCTCCTCTGACTTAGGCGCACCTTGGATTTCTGTAAGCAGGGAATTAAAGTCAGGCTCTGTAAGGAACATCTTTCCTCTCTTTGGAAAAAAAGACAGAGGAACTACTTCTTGTTCAACCACTCACTTTTCAGACAAGATCCTTACGGCCTCCAGCAAAGAGGCAACTTGCACTGAGAGCCAGCACCTGGGGCTTTTCACTGTGAGTAGCTTTTGTTTGTTAACTACAAGAGCTGGACTGCGTATGGTTCTTGCAAACCATCTTCTATAAATGATTGTTTTTGAGAGGAAGAAAGTATCTAGTCAGAGAGAGAACATGGGGCCTGTGCTAAGACCATCCATGATGGGGGCATGATGGGAAGGAAAGACTGTAGAGAAAGACATACAGAGTGAAGAGTGGGTGTGCAGCCCGGCCGGGCCTGGCTCGGTGGTTGAGCATCGACCTAGGATCCAGGCCATCAGGGTTCGATTCCCTGTCAGGGCACATGCCCGGGTTGCGGGTTGCAGCCGATTAATGACTCTCTCATCATTGATGTTCCTATCTCTCTCTCTCCCCCTCTCCTTTCCTCTCTCTGAGATCAATAAAGATATA